ATTCAATAAGGAAAAGCATATTCTTATGAATATAAAAGTAACAACTATGTTATCCAATGCTCAAAAGTAATCAAGTGAACATACATCAAATCCAAATCCATGATTTAAATATAAAAACAACTTCCAAAATGCAATTAAATCCATGGAGTAATAAAGTAGAATTTAATTAAACATAAATAATTAAATTCTCGAAATTCCAAGTTAATCCAAATAACCTCAATTTAATATATATTAAAAGACATGTCATGGTCATCATATATATAACATCAAATGATAAGTTAAGTGATTAAAACACTTAAAACAAAATTAATCAAGCTAATTAATTAATTTCCTCTAGATTTTTAAACAATTCCAAATGCCCTCAATTTAATCTATATTAGAGAACATGCCAAGGCCTATTTAAATACCACATTACAACTTGATTTAATACTTGATACAACCATGTGACTTAAACTTTCACTAAAGATAAATATTAAATAAAAGTTGTAATTCTTAATCAAATGATCCAAATTTAATATATGTTAACCAACATATCTAAGTATAATTTCCTAGCATGTTACAATTCAAATTAAAGTTACACATCATCGTAAATTTTAAATCTTATACAAAGAAATAAAAATTACTAACTTTCTAGATTTGATACAAGGCATACATATATGTTGTATAATCATGACAAACACACAATACAACACACAAATAATCCTAAAACATTCCCTACCTCAATTGGAATGAAAATCCCAATTACCACTGAAATGAAATCGCCCCAAATTTTCGGTCCGCAAAACAGATTTTTCAGCTTGCTACCTTCAACTTGTAAAATTCATAAAAAATTCAATTCTAACCCAAATTGAATGAATCCAAAGCCTAATGAAAGCTTAAACACTGTAATTTGATAATATCAATTTAGTTTAACAAAATATTTTCCTAATTGAAACAGGTTTGACCCACAACTTTGAAACAAATTCTGCCCAGAAAACACATTTTCAGCCTGTAACTTCCAACTTTGAAAATTCATTAAAAATTCATTTGACATCCAAATTGGGCAAACCTAATTTATTTTGGAAGTAAACCTATGAGAGTGTAAAACTGGAAATTGAAGCCATGATCCAATGTCAAAAGGTTAGTGAAATAAATCATCTAAAAATATGTTCTCTAGTTGCAAAAAAAACATGGACAGCAGATAGTTTCGGATTTTTAAAAAATTTTAGAAATGCTCTAAAGTCGTGAAAAAATTCTGAGTAGTGTAAAACCCATGGGGAAATTTTCAGTAAAAATTTCAAGGCAATTGAAGTACCAGAGCTCCATATAAAAATTCATTTCCGGACCAAAAAGGAAAAGCTTCAAATTTCCAACAACTAGCTTGCAACTTCAAAAATTCAAAACTAATTCATTTTAAATCCAAAATACATAAAACCATAACTAAATGAAAGCTAATTGAGTATATTTTCATATTATATATTTAATTTGATAAGATTAATTTCAAGTTAAAACAGTTTAAGGGCAAAATACAAATCCTTCTCTTCCATGCATATAAAACACTCAATAATGACATAAAAATACTTCAAAATAATAGATCAATACCTCACTAGAGAATTGAATCTCTAGATAGCAAAGCAAAACTAGGAGTTAGGCTAGATCCTTCAAGGTTTTTGAAGAGGAGGATGAGGGGAACAAAAAGTATTCCAAACTTTATGGTCTAAAGTAAGTGGAAGGGCCTCAAAGATCAATGTCAATGCGTAAGGCTTCAAGATCCATCCATGGAGGCTAGGGTTTTCTTATAAGGAAGCGAATGAAATAATGTGGTTAAGTGTGAGTGGGGGAAATAGAAATCCTCCACTCACTATGTGCTCTTACACCATGGTCAACACACACATCTATGGTCAATTGCACAAGAACCCTCCTTTAAAACTATAATCCCAAAGTGGCCCAAAGATATTTGCAAGACTAAATTGTGAACCTACACTTGTCACCAATCCATGGCTCCTTCCTAGGCTTAATCCCACACCTACACTTGTCAACCATCCAAGCTAACAAGTGCACCAATCCTAGGCCAACAAGTGGGTGAATCCTCACCCTCCAAATGTCATCATCCAATGCATTAAAGTGTTTCCACACAAATGTCAACAAGTGGACCAATGAGAGTGTGACATTTGTCACACTTTTCAAAAATTGCAAAAAGGTCATTTTTGAAAATATCTTCCAAATTTAATTGCAAAATGGTCCCCAAGATGAAAAATAATTACTTTATTTAATTACACTAAAACCCCACAAGTTAAGAATAATTCCACTAAAGTATGCATTAATGCCCCTTTATGAAAGAAGTAAGCAATCAACATGCTTTTCTAGAAAAGTAGAAATACCACTATCATGGAAATTGAATATCATGAATGCATGCAAAACCGGAATCAAATCTGAGCACAAAAAGTGAGGTTGTGTAAGGAAAAAGGATAAACGAGAAAAAGACAAAATGTGAATAGTGTTCGGAAAAATAAAATATGGAAATGATACAATCCCCAAAGGAAGTTGTTAATCTAAGGAAAAGAGTCTCGGAAATCATTCCGGAGCACTCGAGACGACATCAAGTGATGAAAAACCAAACCCAAAAAGGAAAGGACAATGGAAAAAAAATATCCGTTAAAATTTGAGAAAAAGAAAAGGAAGAAAAATGACCGGGTCATTACATTCATTCTATCTAAGAATGGTGTGTTTATCGAGAAAGGCTATGCTGCAAATGGTATGTTTAAACTTAATGTTGAAAATGAAATAATTTATGCTTATATTGCTAAGTTAATTGATTTATGGCATGGTAGATTAGGCCACGTGAATTTTAAGTCCATTAATCAAATGGTTAACGAGGGGGTAATCACAGTATGTGATAAAACATATGTGGATCAATGTGTGACTTGTAGTAAATGCAAAATTACTAAGAAAACCTTCAATTCGATAGAGAGGAAATCCACTATATTGGAATTGATCCATACTGATGTATGTGAAATGGAATATTTATCACGTGGAGGGCATCGTTACTTTATCACTTTTATTGATGATTGTTCTAGATATACTTATGTCTATCCTTTCCGATCTAAAGATGAAGCTTTAGACAAGTTCAAGGCATATAAAGCAGAAGTCGCAAAGCAGCTGAATTCAAGCATCAAAGTTATTCGATTAAATAGAGGAGGAGAATACATCAAGTCTGAGTTTCAACATCTATGTGAAGATGAAAGAGTCGAAAAATAACTGACAACCTCTTATTCTCCTCAACAAAATGGAGTAGCTGAAAGAAAGAACAAAACTTTGACAGAAATGGTGAACTCAATGTTTACCGACTCAGGCTTACCTAAAAATATGTGGGTAGAATTTTTGTTATCTGCTTGCCACATTCTCAACAGAGTCCCACATAAAAAGTCAATATGACTCCATATGAAGTGTGGAGAGGAAGAAAGTCGAATGGTAATTATTTCAGAGTGTGGGGTTGCTTAGCTCATGTTAGACTACCATATCAACAAACATCGAAGATTGGTCATAGAGGCATTGATTGTGTATTGTAAAGCCTACAAATTCTTAAATTTGGAGTCTCCTTCGCCTCATACAATCATCGAGTCAGTTCATGCAAATTTCTTTGAGAATATTTTTTTTCAAAAAGAAAAGGCAAAAATGAACATGATATTCCTTCAGACTCTAATACAAGGAAGGGAAAATCCTCTGATCCTTTAGAAGAAGTTGAACCAAGGAGGAGCTCCAGAATTGCTAAGCCAAAGTCCTTTGGGCTAGACTTCTATACTATCATAATCGAGAATGAGCTTGTAACTTATTCCGAGGCGATATCCTCACATGATGCTCCGTTCTGGCGAAAAGCAATTGATGATGAAATGCATTCAATTATGTCCAACAATACTTGGATGTTGGTGGCTCTTCTTCCTGGTTGCAAGCCAATTAGATGCAAGTGGATCTTCAAGAAGAAATTAAAGTCAGACAGAACGTTGGATAAGTATAGGGCTAGATTGGTAGCAAAAGTTTTCAAGCAAAAGAAGGAGAGTGACTATTTTGACACTTTTTCTCTTGTTACAAGAATTACTTCTATCAGGCTTTTGATTGCCTTAGCTGCTATCAATAATTTGATAATTCATCAGATGGACATAAAGACTACTTTCCTCAATGGCGATCTAGCAGAGGAGATCTATATGGAGCAACCTGAGGGCTTTGTATTACCTGGACAAGAAAAGAAGGTGTGCAAATTAATCAAGTCATTATATGGCTTGAAATAAGCTCCTAAGCAGTGGCACAAGAAATTTAAGAAGGTGATGATACCTGCTGGATTTAAGATTAATGGAGGAGATATATGCATCTTTAGTAGATTTCAAAGAAACTCTGGTGTCATCATCTGCCTCTTTGTCGATGATATGCTCATTTTTGGGATAGACTTGGAAAGTGCATAGAAACTAAAAAGTATTTGACTTCTAGTTTTGACATAAAAGATCTTGGTGAGGCTGATGTGATTCTAGGAATCAAAATCGTAAGGTTTCAAAATGGTTTAGCACTTACGCAGTCTAGCTATATCGAAAAGATTATGAAAAAGTTTAATTACTTTTTAGATTTTGCAGTCTTTACTCTAATTGATCCTAGTGTAAAGTTGGTACGCAATCAAGGTAAAACGATGGATCAACTCGAATATTCTCGAATTATTGGCAGTCTTATGTATTCAATGTACTGCACAAGGCCAGATATAGCCTTTGCAGTGGGTACTTTGAGTAAGTACACAAGCAATTCAGGAAAGGAGCATTGGAATGCTTTGCTGAGAATCCTAAAGTACTTGAAAGTACTATGGACTATGGATTGCACTATGGAAAATTTCCAGCCGTAATCGAAGGGTACAGCGATGTGTCATGGAACTCTGACAGAGAAGACTCATTATCTATGACTGCCTGGATCTTTACATTGGGTGGAGTAGCGATTTCATGGAAAAAAAAAAAAAAAAACAAACATGTATAACTCACTCCTCTATGGAATCGGAGTTTATAGCACCTTCCTCTGCTGGAGAAGAAGCTAAATGGTTGAAAAACATATTGGAAGATATCCTGATATGGAACAAGCCAATACCACCCTTGACAATATATTGTGATAACATAGTTGCAATGCTTCGAGTTAACAGTGAGTGTTACAATGGAAAATCTAGACAGGTGCGATTGAAGCACAATCATGTGAGAACGATCCTAGCTAATGGAGCTATTTCTACTCAGTATGTGAAATCCAAATCAAATTTGGCAGATCCATTGTCAAAGGGCTTGGGTAGGGACCAAGTGTCTGAGACATCGAAAAGGATGGGATTAAAGCCTGTAATTGAATAAGTTGTACTGTTATGGGAACCCAACCCAGTGATATTTCTCTTGGGTTCAATGGGAAAAATAAGTAACATAACAACTTGTGTGAGCACATCAATGTTCTTTTCCCTATAATGTAATGTGGGTGCTGAATCCTATAACCGAGGAGGTTGAGATTTAGATCTCTTAATGAATTTATAAATCGATTTTTGATTGGAGTGTACAGGATCACTTCTGATAGATTCACCGACTAACCTTTAAGGAGGCTAAGACTTGTATTTCTTAATGAATTCTATAGATCGGATTTTTGATTGGGGTATACATAATCACTCTTAATAGATTCACCGATTTATTTTACAATGAGGAGGATGAGATTAAAATCTCTTAATGAGTCCATAATCGGTATTCGGTTGGAATGTGCAAGGTCACCCTTAATGGACACACTGATCTGAGTGTGGAAGTAGGGCCGCTTCTATAGGATCTAGACAGGCTTGATCCTTAACGACACTCAGATGTATGGATTCTGGACACATGGCCGAAACGTGTCAAGCTTCAGTATTTTATCTCCAAACAGAAGTGTGTGTGTATAGTATTTCTTATTCATCAACGTGGTTCTTGGTTCAAGACATCGTTCACCAAGTTCTTAGATGAAATCAAGGGTACATATACTAGGTAATGGTTCAAGTCCAAAAGACACCATTATTGATGCAAATGACTGTACCAATCAACAAAAGAAATTTAAAATAAGTGGGGGATTTTTGGAGTTATGTTTCAAATTAATTTTTAGTTACTCTATATTTATGAAGACTTTAAGTCTTGGCTTTACCATATATTTATGAAGACGTAAAGTATTTTTACAAACTCTAACTCAAAAGATCTTCACCTGATGCAATTAATCAACTATATTGATATATTATTTATGAGTTAAGTTTAACGTATATTAAATACTTTATTTAATTATGTCTTCTATATATGCTAGTATCAATAGTAGGTTTACGAAGGCTACAAGATATACACTCTTAATACAAGTAAGAGAGAAAAAGAGATTTGAAAAAGTGTTTACAAACTTTTGAGTTTGAGTGTGTGAGTTTCATATTTTCTATTGATCGGATGGATATAAATACATAGGTTCATGGAGAAGAAATGCAACCTTCATTAATACATAAATATGATATCTGGGCTTAGTTGAATCCTGAAGATAGTGCTGCCATTTGTTTTTTGGTGCACGTGAGAGAGGCGTCAACTATTTTCAAGAAGCGATTACGCATCTCTAGGCCTCGATACTCACTGTTTTAATATATTGGTTCCAACAAATTAAGATACCAATTAAGTGTTGTGTTGGTCTAGTGGTTTCAATTCCATCACCTATTGTTTTCCATCAAAACAATACTAATTTAGATCATGATTAAAACCATTTCTGATAGATACCGGCCTCTGGCCTTTCTTATCTTTCTTGCTCTAATCCCAAATAGAGCCAAAAATCCTTAATTACAAATACAACATTAAAACTTTTAACCATGCGTGAAACCCCGACATGAAGCATTTCTTATATTTCTTCTACCCATTTTGATATAAAATATAGGGGGAGAAAATTTATATGGCATATTGGCATTTAAAAACTTTCTACTGCAATTCTTCTGCATAGGGTGCTTGTAGACGTGAAAACTAATTACTTCAACAGTAGTATCTTTTTTTTTTAAATGGACAAAAGTTTATTATGAATTTATTTATTTCATGAACGTGATGAATTAATTATTTTATTATCTTTTACAGGTGTATCATCAACAACAATGCTATTTATTAGAGGTGAAGTTGTCTATTTATTATTCATTTGTTACTAGCTAGTACCAGCGATTGTGGACTATTGAAAAGGGTTTTAAACTTTGGTTTGTTTACGTACAGGTTCAGTCTTAGGTCCCTTTTTTCTTGTGGTGGTTGCAATTCTACTCTATCATTTCCATACCATGAATAAAATGGAGAAAGAGAACAAAGTAAAGATTGAAAAGTTTTTGGAGGACTATAGACCTCTCAAGCCTACAAGATACTCTTATATCGATATTAAGAAGATCACAAATCAATTCGAGGAGAAACTTAGACAAGGAGGTTACGGAACTGTATTCAAAGGAAAACTTTCCAATGAAATTCTTGTTGTTGTTAAGCTCCTCGACAATTCCATAGGGAAAGGGGAAGATTTCATTAATGAAGTGGGAACAATAGGTATAATCCACCACGTCAATGTTGTTCGCCTAGTGGGATTCTGTGTTGATGGATTCAAACGAGCACTTGTTTACGAGTTCTTACCAAATGATTCATTACAGAAGTTCTTGTTTATTGAAAATCACAAAAAACATTCACTTGGTTGGGAGAAGCTGCAAGATATTGCTCTAGACATAGCCAAGGGAATTGAATATCTTCACCAAGGGTGCGATCAACGAATACTTCATTTTGATATTAAGCCTCATAATATCTTGCTAGACCATAACTTCAATCCAAAAGTCTCAGATTTTGGCCTAGCAAAGTTGTGTTTAAAGGAAAAAAGTGCAGTTTCTATGACAACAACTAGAGGGACCGTAGGTTATATAGCCTCTGAAGTTTTTTCTAGGAACTTTGGAAATGTGTCGTATAAATCAGATATTTATAGCTTTGGGATGTTGATACTTGATATGGTGGGTGTGAGGAAGAAGGGTGATGTTACAGTAGAGGATTCCAGCCAAACATACTTCCCACAATGGATTTATAATCTATTGCGTGAAGGAGAAGAGCTAGGGATGCACATTGAAGAAGAGGAAGATTCCAAGATAGTAAAGAAATTGACTATTGTTGGGTTGTGGTGCATTCGGTGGTACCTGATGGATTGCCCTACCATGAACACTGTAGTACAAATGCTGGAAGGGGAAGGAGATGGTCTGCCCATGCCCCCAAGTCCTTTTGCTTCAACAGCTCAAATGAAAAGAACAACCATGCTTGCAAGAGCTTTTGAAAAAGAGTTAGAAGTTATTTCTAAAGCAGAGTGACATAGTAAATTAGATGTTTATGATGCTCTTAGTATTTTTGATGAGTAGGTTGTTGGGAAACGTGCAAGTTTTAAAACCTTTTTGAGGGATTTTCATACGTAGATCTTGATTCATCACATAGAGACAAGTTTTATGCAAAAAATAAAATATGATGTATCATTCAATTAATAGATTGAATACTTACATCAAAGGTCTGAGTAAACCTTTAAATCTTTCCTCTAAAGTGAATGTTCTCACTTATTGTAGATCCCTTAGCTAGATCCTTTCTCCTTATTCTTGATGGTAATCTTCCCTTTAGAAATCACCAATATGCCTCGACGAAGACCTTGGAGTCAAGGCTTGTGGTAGCCTCCTTTAGAAGAGAAAGCAAACCCTAAAAACTAGAGAGAGAAAAAAATTCATTTTTCTTGCCAAAGTCTCCCCTAAAATATACATGGACTCATGTATATATAGACAACATAAAGATAAGAAAAGGAAATAATAAATCATTTTCCATCTCTAATTCAAATTTCTTAATTCTAATAGGACTCCAATATCAACTTGGGCTATGGGTGAGAATCCTTTGGGCTTACTATTTTCTTGGCTACTATAAATTAATAATTGGTCTGGTCTATTAAACTATGGACCCAATTCAATTAATTCATAAATTAATTTCTACTCCACTTAAAGAAATTAATTACACTCCAATTAAATAGTAAATAACCTCTAAGTTAATGTTGCACTTTGACCCCTCAATGCATAATTATTTATCGGATTATAAAGCCATCAATCTGACAACATAATTAATATAATTATTTTGTTACCTTTGATTATATCCGGCTTGATCACAATAAAATATTTGTTTGACAAAAATAATAATTTACTAAATAAATATATATATAAAACATTTTGTCTAAAATATACAAAGGCATTCGAATTTAATTTGTGATCAGTCATAATCAATACAAAATAAATACAAGTAGTACTGATGCAAATATTGAGAATATGACCCTCTAACTATTAATTACATAACTACTCAAAGTGTCGATCTAAGGATCTCGAAGTATCCGCTGAACAAATCAAAGTAATTATTAATTAATAAAAGAGTCTATACTTCTCTCATGCTTGAGAGTCAAAAGCCATGACTGTGATAGAGAGTAATTAGATACGACGGCTCTCGCAATATACCTCAACCTACCGTGGACTCGGTTCAAGTCTTAATTAATTAAATGTCCATCCATAATTACTGACTTTGAACCATTTATGATTACTAATTTATAACTTAGTATTAATTGACATTACATACATATATAAATTATATCTTGTAATCAAGTGGACACAATCAATTCCATAATGAATCGAAAAAAATAATACATTCCATTCACCAATTGTATAATGCCTTAATAATAATATTCAGATAAAGAACCATGACTTTTACAATCCAAATAAGAATTTGCTATGCTAGGGCACACATATCCTAACAGTTCCCACTTGCCCTTATAGCCAATTCGAATCACATCTAACTCCCATGCTTTCCATATGACGATCAAAATTCTTGATCGGTAAAGCCTTTGTGAATGGATCAACAAGGTTGTGTTCCAATGCAATCTTGGCCACAAGTATATGTCCTTGTTTTACTATATCACGAACCACATGATGTTTCCTCTGAATGTGTCTTGTTCCTTTATGAAATTTTGGGTTCTTGGTCTGGGCTATAGCCGCACTATTATCGCAATGAAGCGTCATAGGCTGATTTATATGCTCCATAACCTCCAGTTCAATTAGAAAGTTTCTCAACCAAACAGTTTCTTTTGCTGCCTCAGAGGCTGCAATGTATTCTGCTTCCATGTTTGAGTCAGCAATACAACCCTGCTTTACACTCTTCCAACTAACAGCCCCTCCATTGAGTTTGAACACATATCCAGATGTCTCTCCTTGCATCTGGATCTGATTGGAAATCAGAATCCGTCTATCCAACTGGAACCAGATCATCACCTCCATAAACGAGCATGAGACTCTTAGTTCTTCTAAGGTATTTTAAAATATTCTTCACAGCTAACCAATGATCAAGTCTAGGATTGGACTAATATCTACTGACAATCCCTACAAAGTAGCAGATGTCTAGTTTGGTACAGACCATGGCATACATGAGACTACCAACTGCCAAAGCATATGGTATCTGCCTTATTTGCTCAATTTCCTTATCAGTCTTAGGAGACTGGTCATTAAAAAGAGCTAATCCATGTCTAAATGGTAAAAACCCTTTCTTAGAGTTTTCCATTCCAAACTTGGTCAGAACTTTATCAATGTAAGACTCTTGAGACAAGCCTATTTTCTTTTTAACCCGATCTCGCAAAAGCTTGATCCCAAGAATATAGCTTCCTTCTCCAAGATCTTTCATCTCAAATTTATTGAACAACCACCTTTTAACTGATGACAAAGCCTCTACATCATTACTAATGAGTATCAACATATAAAATAAGAATCAGGATGACATTACCCTGTTTTTTCTTGTATATGCAAGGTTCAAACACGTTTTGTTTAAAGCCAAATAATTTGACTGCCTGATCAAAACAAATGTTCCATGTGCGTGAAGCTTGTTTAAGTCCATAAATAGACCTATTCAACTTACACACACAGTCCTCACGACCTTTAACCACGAAACCGTTTGGTTGCCTTATGTAGATGTCTTATTCAAGATGGCCATTTAAAAATGCCATCTTAACATCCATCTACCATATCTCACAGTCATAATGAGCACTAATTTTGATACCCCTCGAATCCAAAAAATTGGGTGATCAGGCCTAAGCCCGAACCCGAGGGAATTTCAAACAATTAAAGTATTTTAAGTGAACACAGATTACAAAATGAATTAAGAAATGAATAATTAAAACCTGAAAGATCTCTAAAATATAATCCTTTAAAATTAAATACTTAAAATCCAAAACCTGCAATAATTACACAACTAGGGAATCCACCCATTGGACCCCTAATACGAAAATCCAAACTGAAATATAAATAACTAAAAGAACATCAAAAATCTATATCATGGAGAGAAGTCCTACATTGTCGGAAGAGTGAGTGATAGTCTCTGCTTAGCACGATCAAGTCTAAGACTGGAACTGGCGAACACCTGAAAAATAGAAGTGAGTCAGGCCCATAAACAAGTTCTATCCTACTACAATCCAAATAGAGACTCGATATGCATGTACATTCTAACCAACTCAACAATAGCTATATAATTCGTATATATATATATATATCCACACTATGGGACTCTCACTGGACTATGATGAGGGTCTCAACCTAAGTAGAAGGCAACATGCAAAACGCACCTGAGTGGGCATGACTACCTAAGCCTAACAGGGTATACCTCAACCAACATAGACAGCTACGCATCATACTGCATATACGCTCCCTAACTGTCGACTTTGAGACTCAAGCTCATATCGCGGTACCATAAAAATATATTTAAAATCATATCCTATCCATCTATAAGAAATCTAGTCAATCGTTCAACTTGTTTAGCTGCACATACTTACATATAAGGAGGATTCTATTTTTATAATCCGTACCCTCATTCCAAAATAAGTAGGACTTAGCGTTTCGAGCTAATCCAAACCTAGTATGCCACCGTCCCATATCGGTGCATACAATCCAAACATCCAGCAGTTGATAAAACAAGTAATAAATGTAATTATCAACTATTTCATATATCCAACAATCGATATTAAAATATTAAATATAAACATCAATTGTCCATATTAAGCATGATAAAATTTTGTAAATTAACAGGCTTATTCGATACTACTCCATAAAGTCCAATAATTGTTTCTACAGGACATACACGTAAACCAATTAATTCCAAGTAAGCATAACATAACATATAATTTCACATGCTTAGTTTTATAACATTGGAACATAATTAACTGAAAAACAATCAATGAGAATTGCTATCCTAAGATTAAGCAATTTCAAATCCTTTCCTTCCAGAAACAGTAATTTAATTTATTAAAATTACCTACTGTTCAAGTATATTCATCAAGACAAATAGAAGTTTGTAAATTTGCATGCTTATTTGTGATTACTGAAGCATATTAACTATAATCTATCACTGAGAATTATTATTCAAAAATTAAGCAATTTAAACTCCTTTACATCCAAGAACAGTAAACTAGCTTATTTAAAAGTTGTCTACGGTTCAAGTAAAAACACCAGTTGGTTTAATCTTTCATTAACCTACTCTCTGAAATTTGAATAGGGATTAGAACATATCTGAATGCCCCAATATAGCTTCTACCTGAATCTGAAAACCCCAAAATCCAAGCCCCGTAGCCCAAACAGGTCACTGAAACGCTGAAAATAAAAAAAATTCAAGGGAGCCGCCTCCCCAGTGCATGGAGCTGGCTCCCTCCTTAAGGGAGCCTACTCCAGGAGCCCTAGAGACGGCTCCCTCAAGCCCTGCTCTTTGCTTAGGGGAGACTGCTCCCCTCCAATGAGAGCCAGCTCTCCTTCTGTTCCCTCTTCGTCTTCAAGTCAGTCGACTTCCCAGACGACTGTCCTCCATTCCTAGGGTTCCTAGGTATTTGAACAAGGTTCTAGTATGTTCAAGAGGCAATTAAATTCTTTACACAATTACCGACATCAACTTAAACATGCATTGTGCAAAAAGAATTTAAACCGAGCAAATCGCCATTCCTAAACACCTACTGTTTTAAGCAACTCAACCATGCAAACTAAATTAAATTTTAATGTTTCCAAGGTGTTCCAAAACTAACTAAATTCTGTATTCCTCAATTGTCATCAATTAAATCATGAATTATACAAGAAGGAAAGTAAAACAAGCAATAACAGTCCATAAACACGTATTGATTAAAACAATGCAAACATGCGAACCAGATTGCTTTTAATCTTTATCTATTCTTGGAATTGGGTTAGACATGTAAATAACACGAGCCAAAGGGAGAGAGTTAGGAATAGAACTTGTCTTTAGGTCTCAGTCTGAAACCTTGCACCGTCAT